AGACTGTATACATAATAAATAAATTAAAAAAAAAAAACTCACTCTCTATGCAGAATACTAAGTAGAATTGGGGATTAAATGAGTTAGTTAAAGGATTCACCCTGGATTCACCCTGGACTATAAAAGAGAGAAACCAAGTCAGTGGTGCTTGCAAGATGTACCTAGCATCCCACCCAAAACACACACACACACACACACACACACACACACACACACCTTCTCATTAGAACTTCAAGCACTTCATGGTTCAAATTCAAAATTTACTGTAAGGCATTGTTTCCTTATGCTTCAAATTGCTTGAGGCATTTGTTTCAAAAGTCCCCAAGTCCTCCCTAAACCAGGATATGTTAAATATCTTGAGAATCTTGGGCATGTGTCCTTCTGAATAGCATCCCAGGTGATGCCCTCAGGCATCCTTGAAACATAAGAGGACCACCCATTGGAACCCAAGTTGATTCCTGTACTCAGAATAGTTGAGTAAAAGTGAGGTTGAGGGCTGGGCAGCCTTTAATCCCAGCACTTGGGAGGCAGTGGGAGGCAGAGGCAGGCAGATCTCAGCGAGTTCAAGGCCAGACTGGGCTATAGAACTAGTTCTTGATAGGACAGCCAGTGCTACACAGAGAAACCCTGTCTGGTAAAACAAACAAAAGAGAAAGGAGGAGGGTTAAGGATATAGATAAATTGGTAAAGGAGTTTGAATTCTCAACTCCAACATAAAAAGCCTGTCCCAATAGCTGTCTGCTCTCACCTCAGCACCGGGCTGGGTGAGATCAGATCCATCCCTGGAGCTCTCTGGAAACTTCTCTAGCCAGTAAGTCAACTGAGGGCTCACTAACAAATCTTGTCTCAAAACAAATAAGGTGGTAAATGACTGAGGAATACACCTGCCTTTGATCTCTGGCCTCCACACATATGTGTACACACATGTACACATATACCCACATGTACAGATAAACAGACAGTTGAGGTCAGCACCAAATGGCTATCTTGGCTTACATGGGCAATCCAATCACTCATGCCCCTCTTGGATAGATTCCTACATTAAAAGTTAACACTTAGTGATAGCTGGATAAGAGCAAGAAGCTCTGGTTGCTGTTGCACAATAGGGTAGATACAAATAATAAAGTACTATAGATTTTTAAAGCCTCAAACCAAGGACTTTGCATGTTTTCACCAGACAATGTTTTACCATATTGTGTGTTTTAACAGATTGACATATTTAACCTGATTTGAACATTAGATAACATATACAAGTATCAAAACATCATCAGGTACCCCATAAGTACATATAATTTCTATGTTTTTATGTTTCAATTTAAAAGTCATTTTAAATTTAAAGGAGGAAAGCTAATGGTCATTGATAATTCAATGAAGATAAAGTTAATCTGCCAAAATGGTATAAACAAGGATACAATTATCTAATAATTGTATAACTGAGTCTAGCTAATTGAAATGAAAAGATTTAAGCATGGGTAGACATTGATTTGCATGCTAGTGACATTGTTTGGTGTCTTTGTGACATGTAGTAACCTGTTTTACCCCTTAATGCTTCCATCTTCAATAAGGAGAAAGCATTTCCAAAGCTCTTCTAAGGGTTAAGTGAGAAGTTTTGTAAGTTACCTCAGGATGATCCCTGGTCATAAAAACTATCCATTAAATATCTGCCCCCCACCCCTAAGCCCTAAGAAGAGTGCTGGATTTGTGGCTTGTTTGCATTGCATCAATCTGAGTTGCAGCTGCAAATCCTAAAATGTGAATGGGAACCTGAGGGTTCCTGGAGACTTAGAAGATGGAAAGGAAGCAGCCTAGCTGTGAGAGCGTGACAGCAAAGGCCATGTCGTGTCCCAAAGACAACATTTCATAGCACCCCCTCCCCGTTGTCCAGCTCTTACACTCTTTGTTCCCTGAGTTTGGGTGGCTAATATAGGTGTCCCCTACACTGAACATTTTTAGTTTTTGAGGCCATAACATAAACTGTGTACTGAGGGTGATCATGAAATGTAAATGTAGTTTTATCAGTTATAACAAATGTGCCCCCTTTCGGGACAGGAGAATGGCCAAAACTATACATGTGTGACTTCAGGGTACCTTAAAAATTTCTGTACTTTCTAGTCAGTGTTTATCTGAATCTAAATTGCTCTAATTTTGTTTTAATTTAAAATACTTTAATTTTTATTTTAAAAATTTTATTTTAAAGGTATCTAATAAACCCACTAGTCACTAGAACAAAGAAAACAGAAAAACGACAACAGGAGGCACAAAAAGAAAACCAAAAGTAAAGGGAGAGTAAAACCACCAATATATAAACAGTTATATAAACATAAGTTCTTTAAATACACCAATTAAAAGACAGAGACTGGCAAAGTATATCAAGTACATGCTGTCTCCAAGACACTCACTTCCAATGTTAAGGATGCTAGCTGACTGAACCTGAAATGGTACAGCTATATATCATGCAAACTACTCAGAAGACTCAAAATAGCTATATTGACATCAGAAAAAGACTATAGGGTAAAGAAAATTACTGGGAATAGAAAAGGGACATTATTCAATGGTAAAAGGCCACCTATAGCACTGAGAAAAATAGTCATTCTAACAGTTACAGAATATGTGTATCAAAAAATGAGGCAGAAGGACTAAGGAGCTGGCCAGGCCAGTAGCATGCATGCCCAAGAAACACAAGGACTTGAGTTCAGTCCTCTGTACCCAACTAACGCAATAGCATCGAGGTGCATGCTTGTAATCCCAACACCGAGGACACAGAGAAATAAATGCAAATCCCAGGCTCCAGTGGCTAGCCAGCCAACCCTAATCAGCAAATCCCAGGTCCCCATGAGAGACCCTGTCTTCTAAAAAGATTCCTGGGGGCTAGAGAAATGGCTCATCAGTCAAGA